ACCCGGGTGGGCAGCGCCGGTCGGGGGCACTGGGACTGACTCTGCGGCCGGCGCCGGAGGGCTGAGGGCACTTTAGAAACCCAGCCCCGAGCCACCCTGAGGAGGAAGCTGAGGCACAGAGAGGTAGCACCCCGCCAGAGGTCACACAGCGAGTGAGTTGCCAGGATAGAAGCGAAGGTCTCGGAGCCCAGCACTGTCCCCCATGTATCCTCGCCGGCTGGGGGCACAGGGAACACTCAGCCGCCGAGGAAGGGGGCAGCCGGGGCCAGGAGATGGATGTTCGATGCCAGGGGAAGCCGGGTGACTACAGCAGAGATCCTCTCCACGCCCCTCGGGGGAGGCTTGTGGCCAGTTTGGCCCAACGATCGGGTGCCCAGGTCCCCTGCACTCTCAACATTTGCTCCGTAAATTTGTCTTTATAAATGTCAGGGGTCGGGGAGAGCTGTCTCCCTACTTAAAAGCGCCCTGCTCCTCTAGGAAGGCCCGGGCGGGGGCCCTGCGCTGGGCAGGGAGCTCGCTTCCCTGTTCCGGGCTGGCCGGGAGCCCCAGGGTGTCTCCCAACAGGTGGGTCCAGCTTTTCCCTGGGGCTTGTTTATCCTGGGCTGGGTCTGCCCGATTTGCCTGGGTGGGGGATGGTGGCCTGGGCTGGCATGTTGGGGGAAACCCCAGCACCTGCTGGTGGCTTCGGGCAGTGAGGGGGACGCAGGGTGATGGGGCCACTCGGGCCCCTGGGCGGAGTAGCATTATAATGGCGTATTGTGTATTTTTCAATTTCCTAAAGGTAACTGTTCAGTCCTCACCTAATTTTACACAGCATGTGAGGGAGCAGAGCCTGGTGACGGATCAGCTCAGCCGCCGCCTCATCCGGACCTACCAGCTCTACAGCCGCACCAGCGGGAAGCACGTGCAGGTCCTGGCCAACAAGCGCATCAACGCCATGGCAGAGGACGGCGACCCCTTCGGTAAGGCGCGCTGAAGGTAGCTTGTGGGATGAGCGGCGCCTGCACCGCCAGTCCCAACTGCACTGACAGGGGGCCTGCAGGGTCCCCAGCTCAGAAGGGAAGGAGTTAAGGCAGAAAGGTGTCTTGAGGGTCAGCTGGGGAAGAGAGGGCTAGGGAAGGGACCTCAGGGAATACTTGGCCACAGGTGCCCCCTTCCCTGCCCAGCAAATGAATGAATCTAGGAATCTCCCTTTACACGTCCCCACTTCATACACTCCTCCCCAGCTGCAGGTGGAGGCAGGGGGTTCAGCGGGAGGGGGCTGAGGTTTAAGGGAAGCGCTTGAAAGAGGATATGTCGCCAGGGCCCACAAAAGGAGAGTGGGAAAGAGAAGGGAGAGAAATCCCCTCAACTCTCCCAGTTGGAAAAGGGGTTTGCTGGGAACCTTTAAATACTTTGATCAGAAGGGTCAATTACAGGTGGAAACTGGGCTTGGAAGGGGCTCTCCCTGCTTCACTCCCCGGGGAACCCAGGCGGCTGGGGCAGGGCTCCCGGCTCCCTGTGGGGTGGCCAGTACGGAGAGCTACTGCCGGCAGAGAAGCTGAGGACTGATTGATTTCTAAAACATTCAATATTCCTGCCTTGAAACGGGGCCAATTTCCAGAGTCCTGGATGTACCAAGAGAAAAGCAAACCCTCTGGGCGGCTGGTGTTGTTTTTAGAGAGCGATTATTGTGAGTTTAAAAACCTTTAAATAATGACCACGTTAAACAAGCATGAAAGGAGAGGGGAAGACTATTAAAAAGTAATAAAAAGGTGAGGCATTTTAAGAGCTAAGAAGAAAAATGAAGAATGATATAAAACAGAAAAAGAACGAGCTTTTTTTCATGTGGAGTTTGAAAGGAGTTGCAAGTCTGTAAATGTTAAAAAAGAGGTTCAAGATTGTTCTCTCTGAATCTCTGGAGAGACCCCCGCGTCTGGCAGAGCGATTAAAACTCTTCTTACTTTCACCTTTTTTAACATTTCCTGAATACTTTCTCCTCTTCTTGAGCCAGTTTGGGGGATCGAGTATGTCTCGCTGCATTTTTTCTGCATCGACGTAGCTGACTTCCCTTCAAAGCTGGAGGAGGAGACATAATTTTCCTGGGATAAATCTGTCACTGGGGTGGAAGAATAGGTTTGAAAATGTTAAGCTTTCCAAAAGCCCGGTCGGGAGAGCTGCCGTAAACTGCAGCCCCAGCTCTCCAGATCCAAGCAGATTCAACCGACCTGGGAGAGAGGGGGCTCTCTGGGGTGGGGGTGGGGGCAGCCTGCCTGGTGGCCGAGCCCCCCTGCTGGGCTGGCAGAGCAGGCCTACCGTCCCTTTGTCCCTCCAAATTGGCTGCTTGCTGCCCTTCTCAGCTTCTAAGGAGAGGAGACGAAGGCCTGGCTCTTCCAGAGTTTGCTCTATCAGAGCAAATGGCCCAGCATCCTTGGATTTTGGGGAGAAAGCAGAAGCCAAGCTGATGTGGGGGAATTCATCTTCAGACATCAGAGGAAGTCTGATGCCCACTTCTCTCCTTGGCCATCTAAGAGGTTTCCCACCTTCCCTAGTCCCTGCCCCACAGCAGGATAGGAGCTGGGGGCCTAAGAACAGAGGCTCAGGGTATTCAGCCAGGACTGGAGGAGTCTGGGGAGAATAGCAGAGAGGTCTCAATGGCTTCTTTTTCGGCCCCAGGAAGATGCAGAGGCACCTACTTCATCCCTGCCTCCTGCATCTGGCCAGAGTCCGCAGAGTGGCATCCTCTCACTCATCTAGTCAGCATCCTTCCTGGCCCTTAAACACAGCTGCCTCTTGCTGTGGAAGGCAGAGCAGGAAAGGGATGAGCAGACTGGCTAGGTCCAGGAGGAGGTGGGCGGGCAGGGAGGTGACAGCTGCATTTCCCTGCTGACTTGGGGCCAAACTGGGGGCTTGGCCACTGGGTCCCAGCACTGCACCTGTGTAAAGAGGGGGACGTTATAGGCTGAGCAGTGATGACTGACTTGCTGACCTCAGTGCCCCCAACCCCTGCCATGGGTTTCAGGGACAGAGGAGGTGCCATGTGTCAATGCAGGCTAAGTCCAACAATTGGCTTTCTCAAGAGTAGAGAGACTGGGCTCTGTGGCAGGGAGGGCAGGAGAGCCAGCACCTTCTGTCCCTTCCCAAATAGTGAAGTCAACCTCACTACTTTCTTGGGGACAGCCTATAAGAGAGGATTGCATAGAGAGGTGAACGGGACAGGCTTCTGTGGCAACTTGGCTGTCTAAGGGGAGGGTAGTGGGGAAGGAGGCATAGAATTCAGCCCTGCCTCCTGGCCTCCAGACTAAGAGGCCAGCGGGCATGATTCTCCCTCCTCCTCACCCACAGAAGATACTTGGTCACTGGGCTGAGAAGCCCAGCTGTGATGAGGCTGAAAGAGAAAAGGCGATTGAGTTGATTTCTAGACACTGGGGGTGGGGACCCTGGTGACTGGGAAACCACAGGGAAGAGGCAGGATCCTCATGGCAGGTGTTTGAGGTTCTGGGAAAGCAGTCTGCTCTGGGCTATGTGTTTAGGGAGAGCTGTCCCCATCCCTAGCACCTTCTCAGCAGAGCAGAGCCTGGTGATGTTGGGGGTGGCGAAAGCTGTGAGTAAGAACCCAAAGTGGCAGAAACAGGAGACAATGCTTTTATCTTTGGCCTTGGGACTGGAGGTCACCACTGCACCCAAATGTTTGTAATGACCTGTGAGGCACGTGCACATGATATTTGGAGTTGGAAGGATCCTTGGAGATCTTTTGATTAGCCATGGAACTCTGATTCAATTAAATTTTACTTAGAGCCTCAATCTAAGAGATTTAAAAAGAGGGTGGAAGGAATGGCACTTCAGCCTTTTCAATTTGATGTTCCCAAGACCTCTCTTGAGAACCCAGTTTGAAAACTATAATCCCGTCCACTGCCCTCTTTAAATCCAGGGCTGGGGCCTGAGGTCCAGAAAAGCACCTTGCCCTTTCTCCGGGTTATATAGCATGTTAGCAGCTGGGCTGGAGCTGGAGTCCATGTTTTGGGTTCCTGGTCTTTGGAGCAGTTGCTGCTGGGCTGTGACAAGTGTGTGGGCCAGCTGGGGTCAGGGATCTGCCAATAACCATCCTCCTACCTTCTGTGACAGCAAAGCTCATCGTGGAGACGGACACCTTTGGAAGCAGAGTTCGAGTCCGAGGAGCCGAGACGGGCCTCTACATCTGCATGAACAAGAAGGGGAAGCTGATCGCCAAGGTGAGGCTCCAGCAGGCAGGCGGGGTCCGCAGGACCTGGGGAGTGGCTTGGGCTGGCTGGACTCCTCCAGGACGGTCCTGTGCTCTGATCCTAACAAGGTAGGCAGAGGGCCACAGGGCCGTCTTGGGGTTACCTCATGATTGGGTGCAGGGGTGAGGGAGAAGGAAGCTGTTTGAGAGATGAAAACTATAAAAGGCAAAGGAGGAAGAATGAAGGCTAGGGAAGGGGCTGGGGGGGGTTGGTAAATTCCATATATCTTTTTAACAAATCGCCAAATTGCTTTGCTATTATGTCCAATTACATGGTACCAGCATTTGGAATGTTCAGTAAGCCGCAGGCCCAGCCCCTCGGCCGAGCTCTGCAATGGTTCCATTAGTCACGGCTCCTCTCCAGCCTCAAGCTCCCCGCTTCCTAGGCTTCTGGGGCTGGGGTCTCAGTGTCTCCTCCCAGGCCTCCCCTCCCCCATAGGGTGGCTGTCCTGGGGCCAGGGAGCTGAAGTCCTGAGGGGGTGAGAGGGGCAGGTGGGGAGATGGGTGGCCAGACTGGCGGGCAGGAGGCCAGAGCAGGCAGGCTCTGGGCCCCTCTCTCTGCCTCTCTGCATTGGGGCCCAGCCCCTCCATAGACAGCCATGTGTCACTGCTGCCTGGGAGGACAGGAAGTTGCCGGGTGGGCTGCGGGTTGTGAGGGATTAGAGAGCGGGTGCCCAGGCAGGGGGTGGGGCTGCAGCTCCTGCCCACCTCGCCATCTGCTGGGGTGCCCACCTGCTGTCTGGGGCCGCTCACCCTCTGCCTCTGCTGGGGGGGCTCTGTAACATGGTGTCTGGCCCCCCTACCTGCAGAGCAACGGCAAAGGCAAGGACTGCGTCTTCACAGAGATTGTGCTGGAGAACAACTACACAGCGCTGCAGAATGCCAAGTACGAGGGATGGTACATGGCCTTCACTCGCAAGGGCCGGCCCCGCAAGGGCTCCAAGACGCGGCAGCACCAGCGCGAGGTCCACTTCATGAAGCGGCTGCCCCGGGGCCACCACACCACCGAGCAGAGCCTGCGCTTCGAGTTCCTCAACTACCCGCCCTTCACGCGCAGCCTGCGCGGCAGCCAGAGGACTTGGGCCCCTGAGCCCCGATAGGTGCTACCTGGCCCTCCCCACAACGCCAGACCACAGACAGGCTCATCCTGTAGGGCGCCCAAAACTCAAGCAAGATGCCCTCTGCGCTGCTGCAGGCTGGGGAGGTGCCGGGGGAGCCCTGGGTTCCGGTTGTTGATACTGTTTGCTGTTGGGTTTTTGCTGTTTTTTTTTTTTTTTTTTTTTAACAAAAGAGAGGCTCTATTTTTGTATTCCACTTGGCTGTGGTGTCTGTCTTCTTAACTCTCAGAAAGCCCCATTAGTGGCCTAGACTGGGATTCCGGCTGGGGGTCTGCGGGGGTCGGGGGCTTTCTCTGGTCTGTGCTGCTGAGGCCCCAGTACCTGCAGGGCCCGCTGGCCGGGCAGCCAGGGACTCCACTGCACCCCCAGGTGGGGCAGGGAGGAAAGGACTGTGACACAGGCCAGTCCTCTTAGAAGTGGGTATCAGACTGGTGGCTATTAAATGATTGAAATATTTATTTAACTTGCATATTAAAAATATGTGCTGGAGAGTGAGTCCTGCCCAGGTCAGCCCCTTCCCCCAACCTTGCCCCAGCTGGTGGGCAGCTGGGAGATGCAAATGACCAGGCACCAGCTCTGACCGCAGCCTCCCTCCAGCCTAAGGACCCCTGCCTGTCAACCATCCCCATCACTGTCACTTGAGGGGTTTTCCTGAAAGGACAGAAGCAGAGAGAGGGGCAAGAAGAGGCTCTTAGCTAGTCCTTGGAGCTCTCAGATGTGTACCTCCTTGCACTTCACAGGGGCCATTGCTAACACTTCCCCAGGCCACCTCAGGGCCGGAAATAATGGATGTGCTAGGACCAGAGCTGTAATCATAGATTTAATCATCTTAAAAAACGCCTCTCTGAGTGCCTAGGTCCATGTGGGAGACCGATTGGAGATTCCAGAACTTGTTCTTTCTGAGACTCAGGCTGCAGAAAATAAAAGAGAAGAGCAACTGCCAGGGTCCAAGGTGGGGGCACATTGGAGGGGGACCACCAAGACTGGTGTTGACAATTGTCATGTGGGACAAGTGTTAACTTTGGGTGATCTGGTGAGATAGCTGTGGGCAGAAAGCACTGAGCTCCAGTGCTGCAAGGAGCCTGGGGAACTGTCTTCCAGGAAGAGGCTTCCTGCCTCGGAGGATGGGCCTGGCGGGAGAGGAGCTGGGCACCGGATGGCACCAGAAGGGAAGCTCATAGGCCCAGAGCAGAACTAAAGGCAGTCATGGCCTTGGGGAGAAGCAGGAGGCCGTGTGTGGAGGGAGAGAGGGCTGCTGTGGGAGTGGAGGAGCAGGTCATGGTATGGGCAGAGAAGGGAATGGGCAAGGGTGCAGGTGTGTGTTTGCATGTGGATTGGTGAGACCGGTGTCCCGCGACACGGAGGAAGAACCCAGGCCCCACAGCAGTTTCCTGAGTGCAGAGCTGGCCCAGCCTTCATCATTGAGGCCTCCCATTGGGGCTGCTCCTGCTGCCTTCCTTGTTGATGCCCTGGGCTGGTCCCACAGCCCAGCTACTGAGCCAGTCTAGAAACTTCGCTCCTCTAGGGCTCTGTCCATTGGCATCTCCTGGGGTAGGGAGCAACCCAAGTCTTCCTCCCAGAGTTTCAGGCCCAAGTCCCAGGCTTAGCCCACCCCGGCAGATCAGGAATTTCGGGGCTTAGCGGGAAGCCTGGCAGTAGAGAGGCTGGCCTGTTCACCTACCTCTTGTGGCCTGCCACAGCGGGTGAGGGACTCTGGAGATAGTGGGTTTCTGCTGGTGCGAAGACACTGGATGTGGCGAAGGGGCCCTAGATGTCTCTCTTCCAGTTCCCCCGACTCTTAGCGTCTCCTCCTCTGCTCCCTTCCCCCTTTAATTAATTCTGGGTGAGCAGCCTGGCTTTATTGTGCAAGGAGCTGGGGTCTCACTGTGGGAAAAGTCACACCTTCTGAGCAGCTTCTGATGCCATGCAAATGAAGGGACCGTCCAGGAAACGCTTTCATCTGCACGGTCTCCTGTCCAGCCCCTAGCCCAGTAATTACCCGCATTTCATTTGTTTGAGAGCAATTCCTGGGGGAAGGCACTGGGTAGGAGGGAGTCTGGTGGGGGTGGAATGTTAGGCTCTCCGCCTGTGATCCTGGCCACAACGTGGGGCCAGGCTGGGCCAAGGCTGGCCCTGGCCAAAGCTAATCCTCAAGCCCCCAGGCTGGGGAGGCCTGAGTCCTCCAGGGTGGTGACAATGGGATTGTGCCATGTTTATATCATGGAAGAAGAGGGGAGCTTTGCAGAGAGCCAGACCTGACTTCTAGAAAGAGACACCTGGATGGGGAAAGGGGATGTGGAGGGGGACAGGAGGGTGGGACCTGGGACCTGGTCCTTGAGGTTGTCTGTGGCTTTGGGAAGAGGTTGACTCCCGGTAGGACTCCAGGCCAGGGACCCATGGGAGCTGCGCCCAGAGCACTGGGGCTAGGCCAGGCTAGAGCACCCATCAACTTGTTTATCTTTGAGCCGCTGCCTCCACAGAGCCCTCACTAATGGGGTTTTACAGCCCACTCAAGCTGCAACTGGCCAAGAATCAATCATTACCGGCACTTAGTGGTTTGATAGTTAACAGCCTGAACTGAAGCCAAACTGGTTGTTAACTGTGATAACAACTGATTTCAAGGGGTTATTGCCGGCCCAATATGCTCAGCCCATTTATTTCGGGGAAAATAAGCAGGGAACTGTTGCAAGGCCCAGAAAAGGGAGGAGGACTGGGCTTCTCTCAACCAAAAGGCCCCCTGCCACTCAGTCCGGAGTTGGTGCTGGCTGCGAGGGCCCAGGGGCAGGCTGAGGGCTGCTTCAAGGCTTGACCACGCACACCCACTGAGGGCCTGCGTGTGAGCCCAGCTGATCCACACACTAGGCCCTTTCCAGCCTTCCCTCTCCCCACTACTCACCTCAGTTATCCTCCTTCTCCCTCCCCATAACGCCCCAGAAGGACGGTCTCCATGAGGAGGAACCCAGGCCCAGTGGCCAGGCCTCTATTTGTCCCCACTCAGCAGCTGGGGCTGCACCCCCTGGCTCATTCCTCCCTCACCCAGGGCTCCCAGACTCCTGCCAGGTACGAACCAGAAATGCCTTTCAAGGCCAGTAAAAAGTCCACTTGGGTCTTGACTAGAAAGAATGAGCAAGAGCTCTCTCTTTCCACAGCACCAGGTCCTATCTCTACCCCTCCCTTCCTCCCTCAGCCAAAAGGAAGCAGGTGAGGCCAGAGTCAAGCATCATTCTAGAATGTTGCTGCTACAAAGGGCCTCGGGAGTTCCCCACCCTCCACAGATGACAACTGCAGCCCAGACGACCCATGGCTGGGGTCAAAGCTGGTGCTGTCCTAGAAATCAGGTCTCCCTCCCAGATCCAAGCTGCCTCCTGAGGGCTGCAGGTCTTTCCCTAATTCCATTCATTCATTCAGTAAATCTTGACTGAGTGCCTAGCATGTGCCAGGCTCCGTTCTGGGTGAGGGGACAGAACAGAAAATGAGAGACAAAAATGCCTGTTACTCTGGAGCCCATATTCTAGTGGGGGAGGACACATCAGACAGTGACAACCACCACAGAGACCAACCCAGATTCAAAAACCACCTTCTTGGATTCTTCCCTGTTTCCAGCCTCTGACATTCAGTCATCTCAATATTCCAGAGAAGAGGATGAGTGTGAAAGGTGGTGGCAATTTTAAGCAAGGTTGTCAGGAAGGCCTGTGGATAACTTTGGGTCTGAGCACACTCCATCAGGGTAAGGCATTCCTATACCTGGGGGAGGACGATCCAGGGGGAGGGCGCAGCCACTGCAAAGGCACACTGCATTAGGGGGACAGGAAGCAAGCCACCACGGCTGCAGCACAGCTAAGGGAGGGTCTTGGGGGTGTGCAGTTGGGAGTTGGGGGTAGTAGAGAATGACAAAAACTGAGGTGAAGTCACAGAGACAGAAGGGGTGCAGAGACCTGGCGAAGGGCAGATCATGTGGGACCGTCGAAAAGACTTCAGTTTGGACTCGGACAGCAAACCACTGAGGGTTTTTTGTTTTTTTTTTTTTAAACAGAGTCTCCCTCTGTCACCCAGGCTGGAGTGCAATGGTGTGATCTCAGCTCACTGCAACCTCTGCCTCCTGGGTTCATGCGATTCTCCTGCCTCAGCCTCCCAAGTAGCTGGGATTACAGGCATGGGCCACCACGCAGAGCTAATTTCGCTGAGGGTTTTCAGCAGTAGAGTGACATGATCTGAATTAAGTCTTCCTAAGGTTGCTTTGGCTGCTGTGTTGCGACTACAAGGTAGCAGGGCAAGGGAGAGCAGTTATGAAGTAACCGCAATAATCAGGTGAAAGATAGTGAATGGAAGATGGTGAGGAGAGAGTAGGGTTCTGGACATTTTTTGCAAGTAGAGATGACAGGATTTGCTGATGGATTTGGATGTGGCTTGTGTAGAAAGAAAGGAGTCTAGGAGTTTCCATGGTTTCTGGCTTGAGCAACAAAAAAGATGGAGGCGTCATTCACTGAGATGGGGGAGATTCCGGGATGGGCAGATTTAGAGGGGAAGGGTAGGAGTTCGGTTTTGCACATGTTACATATGAGATGACCACATACATATTCAAGAGGAGATGAGTAGGCAGTTGTGTGTAAGTCTGGAATTCAGGGGAGAAGTCTAGTGTGAAGATAGCAATCCAGGAGTGTTCAGCACACAGATGATTTTCGAAGCAAGGAGACAGGATGGATTCCTTAGGGAGTGAGCAGAGATGGAGGAGAGGAGCCAGCCAAGCCTCCACGTGCTCCAAACATTTAGAGGTCAGGTGAAGAGGGAGAACTGGCAAAGAAGACTGAAACTGTGTGGCCCACGAGGTAGGCAGGAGGAAAAGCAGAGAGTGCTGTGGCCTGATGACCTAGGGGAAGGACAGAAGGATTCTGAGTCCAGAGCTTTACCTGGGGCTAGGGAAAATTTTCATGTCATCATGTCTCCCTACTCCCTACCCCCCACTCAACCCCAGGGCTGAGAGGAAGTGGCCAAAAAACAGGGCTGGTTTAACCTGGGAGCATCACCCTTGCCTCTCATCAGCAGGTCCTGCTGGCTTTCCCTCCAGACACCTCTCCAGTCCAATCCATCCACCGCCTACCCTATCTACCTATCTACTGCTACCACCCTGCTCCAAGCCATCATCAGTTCTTGTCTGGCTTATGGCAGTACCCACCCCCAAA